TACCACCTAATGACAAAATCCGCAATCACTTAGTTGCCAACTCAATACAAAGCATAGCGACATGCGAATTACTAAAATCTTTCGATTATTGCCATTTTGTTCCTGTAGTCGTCTCATAACCAACTTACTTCGATTCTTCATAAAATTAATTCAGGAAGTCTATTTTATGAGGAGTGGAAGGATTATTTTAAGGATAGTTTCCACAGACGTATTATTTTAGTAAAATTTGGAATTACGTTTGCGGTAGAAACACAGGAGCGGAGAATTCGGCTTCGTGCCGTGCGCAATGAACGTGTTAATCTCTAAAGAAAACACGTGTACATAATACCGGCCGAAGAGAACCACGGTGGGAACGGAGAAAAAAAAGGGTTCCGTCGATGAAGTGGCATAAATTGCGGCCGGTGTGTCGCGATTCGTCGTGGCACGAATATCAAAGCGCGATCGTTTGATGGCACTCGAGGTCCCGAGGTCCGCGGCTAGAGTGCCGCTTGACCCTGTCACTTGGTTTCCAGCCACGTCATGAAGGCCCTCCAGAATTAAATCAATTAAAGAGATCCGTCGCGTCGTCCCGTTCTGATATTCGCGCCGAGCGTGCTCGTAAATCGCGTGACGGATTGCGAATCTCTCCGTCGATTATTATTATGTCGTGTCAGTTTCATCTCTCGAAATCGTTCGGCGGACCGGGAAAAAAAAACCACGATGTCGACACGTGAATTTATGGATGATTAAACGCGCGGTTCGATCGAACGTGAAAGAATGATCGGAGTGGCGGGAATTGGAAGGAATTTTTAGAATTGAACGTAACATAATAAAATAATTAGAAATGGAAGAATACCCGACGTCAAATAAATCTGAAAAAATCGTAGAATCAAATGTGTAGTAGATGGAAAAGAAATATCGAATTGAAAGTTTCGCTTCGAATTTCGAAGATTTCTGTTTCCCTTGGAATTTCGAGATCGAAACGTACAAACTCGAGATTTTACAAAATAATAGGGTCGATGTTAAGAAACCTAAATTGAAATTTAGTCGGAAGATATTCTTAAACTTTAATGATTTTTATTTTTATAATATCGATACGATAATCTGTAGGTTTATCGCGAGGGAAAAAACTAATTATATTCATTGATTTTCGAAAGTATATTCGTTTAACAATCATACGATATTTTATCGTTAAAAAGTATTCAACGCGAATAAGTACTCGTAACACGGTCTGAATGGTAATATTTATAAATAAGGGAAGAACAGAGAGGGGAAAGATTCGAAACACCTGTATGAATTTCACGATGCGAAACGAGCAACCTGGAGTACCTTGTCAGACACGTTTGTTACACGTGTCTCTATGTATTGTTACCTCTGTGTATGTACCCATCTACGTATATGCTATCGTCGAGTGTGCGTTGAACAATAGTTAGCGTACGCTAACTACTTGGAGCGATCGCGGTGGAAACATCGGATGGGAGAATAATTAGCACAACCTCGAGGATTTTCAGCCTGTATACACGTGGTATCCTGGCTATCCAATTAAGTGTCAACGATAAACCAGACCGTGCAACAATATCTTACGCTATTGGTTTTTACATATCAATTTTCTTTAAAATTTCAGATGGTAAGTAGTTGTTATTTCATGGTCATTTCAACAAAAGTACATAGTTTCCTGTTATAAAAATATCGAAGTACTGATATTCTGCCTATGCAATTAAATGTCAACGATAAATCAAATTGTGCAACAATATCCTACGCCATTGGTTATTACATATCAATTTCCTTTAAAACTTCAAATGGTGAATAGTTGTTATTTCAAGATCATTCCAACAAACGTACACAGTTTCCTGTTATAAAAATATCGAAGTACTGATATTCTGCCTATCCAATTAAATGTCAACGATAAACCAGACTGTGCAACAATATCTTACGCCATTGGTTATTACATATCAATTTCCTTTAAAATTTCAAATGGTGAATAGTTGTTATTTCATGATCATTTTAACAAACGTACACAGTTTCCTGTTATAAAAATATTGGTATCCTGGCTATCCAATTAAGTGTCAACGATATACCAGACCGTGCAACAATATCCTACACCATTAGTTATTACATATGAATTTCCTTTAAAATTTCAAATGGTGAATAGTTGTTATTTCAAGATCATTCCAACAAACGTACATAGTTTCCTGTTATAAAAATATCGAAGTACTGATATTCTGCCTATCCAATTAAATGTCAACGATAAATCAAACTGTGCAACAATATCCTATGTCATTGGTTATTACATATCAATTTCCTTTAAAATTTCAAATGGTGAATAGTTGTTATTTCAAGATCATTCCAACAAACGTACACAGTTTCCTGTTATAAAAATATCGAAGTACTGATATTCTGCTTATCCAATTAAATGTCAACGATAAACCAGACTGTGCAACTATCCTACGTCATTGGTTATTACATATCAATTTCCTTTAAAATTTCAAATGGTGAATAGTTGTTATTTCAAGATCATTCCAACAAACGTACACAGTTTCCTGTTATAAAAATATTAAAGAGCTTGGAAGTTGCAAAAGTGTTGAGTTTGGCAACTAAGTGATCGCGGATTTTATCATTACCACCTAATTACAAAATCCGCAATCACTTAGTTGCCAACCCAATACGTTATATGGATCTTTGAACTAATTTCATTTGAATTTATTCGAACAAATTTTCATGCAATTCTGTCTGTCTTTAATAGTTACGGATAAGCAGCGAAAACAGCATCGAAATCCCCGAAGGACTGTATTTTAAATGATACATCAACCGTAGTAGCGTTTCCATATCGGACGCTTTGCTATGCAATATTTTACGATTCGCTGCTTATTAATTAGTATCCTATATCGATTCACGATTCATAGCGTTCGATTTCTATCTTTCGTAGACGACTGCGAAATACGCGTTATTTTTCTTATCGATCTTCGTCGATTCGTCTATGCCACCCTGTTGTCACGCTTCGGCATTCCTTCGACTCGGTAACATCGCGTGTAAAAGTTTCAGCGGGCATAAAAAAGAATCGTGGGAGAGTGAATGCTTCGTAACGAAAGACACGAAAGGTAGACTTAGAGGGAAGAGAGAGGAGAGAAAGATTGAAGAAGGCGAGACGAAGCGAGCGTTCTTACGACATAAGGAAAAAAGGTAGCTGCTGGCTGGCGCCACTCTACCACCGTTTCACGCCACCGTTCCTGTTCTTCTTGCTATATCACCCTTTTCCTTTTTTTTCTTCCTTTTCGCTCTTGTCCTTCTTCTTTCGACCAATGGTCACTTTCTTCCTTCGGCGAGAAGTCGCTTCGTACTTTATTTTCGATTTTATTTCGACGTATCACAGCTGTAGGAGAAAGAACGACGACGGTCATTGGGGAACGTCGAGAAATCCTTGTGAAATATCTTTGGAAAGTTGGTGTTTTAAGAAATTTTTCGGAATTTATGGAGAATATCGTTTAAAGGATGCTTTTGGCCGGACGCGTGATTTTTGTGAAATTTATTAAGAACACGCATTAATTCGTGCGTGAATCTGACATTTTAAAGACGCCCTTGTGTCGCTGTATCGTGGACAGATAATTATGTCAATTTGTAGACTTGATAATTAGGGGAATTGAATCGCTGTCGATCATGGTCGAGTTTGCGGACCCAGGCAATTAATTTGCGGTCGGGACAATAACTGCGGCTCAGATCGGCCATCAGCTAATCGCGTCTCGCTAATTACCGATCTGTCCGCTATTAACGAACATCGAAATTAGATTGTGAGTGGAACGCGATTAAAAGTATCATTCGCAATCTCAAATATCTTGTAAATATCCGAGTAACTTTTTCCAGGAGTTTGTTAAACTAACGCGTATGGAATGTCGTTTTTTAAAATAAAATTTCCACGATCATTTTCCACGTCTCTATGTGAGTCTATGTAATCTGTGTAAGTCTGTCAAAACTTTTGGCTCCCCATTTGTTCGTTGAGACCTTCTTCCTTTCTTTATAAATTCTACGTAATTTCATTTGATCGTTTACAATTCTCTATAATATCTGATATTAACCGATATGAACCACCTGGTAAAAGGCCAGTAATGGTTCCCATAGAAAATCGAATAACTTTACGAGTATGCTTCGGTCGTTTAGAATTACTAATCGATCTCGCTTCGTTAGTGAAGATATTAAAACGAAACGTTA